ATATTTATTCAATTACCTGCGGTTTTATAGCTCAAAAATATCTAGAAAAACAGACATTCTGACTGTGAGCAGCGTTACCTCTCCACAGATCTGACCTGTAACTTGATTTGGTTTGGTCTCCGCGAAGATAGAACATTCCAGACAAAGCAATAACAAAAGCATCTGAAGGACCCTGCACCAGAAAAGTTCCACAGCGCACCTTTAACACTAGTTTCATTGTCTGTCCGCTTACGTCGTTCGTATTCATACTATTTTTAAACCGAAGCGCCATCATTTGCAGTCAGGGGTTTCTTTGGGATTGAGTTTCGCTGGTGGTGGTGCCTTCCTCCCTTTGTATTCACACTGCAGTTCCCCCGGGCCAAAGAAAGGACTGATAGATAAGGCTAAAAATACCCCTCCCGCGTCTCCCGGAGAGGGGATCACACTTCATCACTGCCAGCCTCACACTCACTGCTTTGGGCATTAAGCACCAGAGGGAAGTGGGCCAGTGACTATGGTCCAGACTGAGGGAATACAGGCTTTTAACACATAAGGAAGGATACCGAGAAAGAGCAAAACACTGAAATACTGACAGCTATGGAATAAAATCTATCCATGATCCATAGGTTAAACATTCTACATTACATAACATTTACTCTTATGAGCTTTGAGTCGTGTTATAATGTTGTTACCTCGTCACAAACATACATGGAGTTGTGTTTAGTTTCTTTTTCACACGTTTCAGTTATTCTGGTTTATTAGTCTGTCTACATCTACAGAGCTCAAAATGCCCCCTTTCCACTTGGTGATGTCATGTAGTGGTGGTTTTTAATTTAATAGCTATGAGTGAGTAGGGACGTAACGATATCCAAGTCTCTCGGTACGATATTATCACGATATGCATCTCACAGTACGATATGTATTGCGATATTTTGAAGAGGCTGATATAATTGTAGATAAGACACCTTTTTGCTTTTAAAATACCCAGACAAGATTTTGGTGTGAATTATTTCTGTCATAATCCCAAGAATTCAAGTAAAAAAACATATTTCTTCATGTTGTCTGCACTGAAATGAATCATGGGATATGTAGTTTCCGATGTTCATAAGCTGTTGCTACTATAAAACCATGTATTTAAGCAAAGGAACTTGTGATTCGATATATTGTGACTGTCCACGATATTATTGTGAGACTTTTGACGATACGATATCATGATATTTCGGTTATTGTTACATCCCTAAAGATGAGCAATTTCAGGGTTGAACTCATCCAAATGATTCTAGTGAAAGTGTATGGAGTTTGAGAGAAAAAAACAGCATAAATCTGCAGGGTTTATGCGTTAAACTTGTGTGAATCAAACAAAACACAACTCCGGGTATGTTTTTCATGAGGAAACAGCATTATAACTTAGATCAGAAAATAGCGTAATATAGGTCCTTTTAAGGTGGACTTAGAAATCCATTTCCAGATCTTGAGCTAGGCTTGGTTAGGATTATTGTTACTATCATTTCAAACTTGATTTCAATACTAAAGAATAGATGGGGATGTAACAATAACCGAAATATTGTGATATCTTATCGTCAGAGTTCTCTCAATAATATCATGGACCATCACAATATATCGAATTACAAGTTTCTTTGCTTAATTTAGGAGTTATGGTGCAGCAATAGATAAAAAAAGACAGTGGGAACTACATAGACCATGATCCTTTGCTCCATTTCAGTGCAGACTACAAGAAGAACAGTTCTAAGCACTTTTAAGTCTTAGTTTTTTGGATTGTTTTGAGTCTTGTCAAGGCATTTTAAGAGGAAAAAGTAGCATATTAATACAAAATATCGCAATAAATATCGTACCGTGAGATGTATATCGTGAAAATATCGTACCAAGAGATTTGGATATTGTTACATCCCTAATCATGAGCCTCCACACCATATCATGAGCTTTCCCACAATATCTCAATAAATATCGTACCGTGAGTTTCAAATTGTGACGATATCGTATCGTGAGATTTGGATATCGTTACATTCCTAGTAATAATTGATACGGATTTTGATACCCAAATTATAATTTTAAGAGCCATGTGGTCTTAAACTAGTTCGGATTAAACTCAAGATAAGACTGTTCAAGAAAGGTCCAATTTGATCTAGTTTATGTCATTTTCAGTATCAATACTCAAATAAGTTTCAGTACTAGTTTTAGAATCAATTTGTATCTGATTTTCGATATTTTTTTTTTACAACCTTTTTGGATTATTTCAACCCTGGAATTTCAAATCTCTACTGAACATAATGTACAAGGTCGCTGTTAACCTGAAAACTACCACTTCATGACATCACAAGGTAGAACAGATCATTTTGAGCTTTGGAGTTGTACACAGACTAATAATAAAGACTTACTCGAACATGTCTGAATGAAACAAAACACAACTCCGGGATGTTTTTGAGGAGGTAACAAGATCATAACATGATTTAAAGCTCACGAGAATTAATTTTGCGTAACACTGGACCTTCAGTTTTAATACTAGTTTCAGTATCAGTTAGTATCTGATTTTCGACTCTTTTCACAACCCTGGTCAGGACTACTGGAAGATTTCACCCGTAGGTCTTGTTTAGTCCTCGTTTTGGTCCCCCTGGTTTGCTCTTATCATGATTTTGTTCTGGTAGCTGTAACTCTGGTGTGGTTGGAGTAGTTTAGTTCTGATCATTTTACCCCGAATCAACATTTTTAGACAATAATAAAAGCTAAAATTTTGCTTTTATACTTAAATTATCTGCAATAATTCTGATTTAAACGTGTGAATCTTTGCTGGTGATCTTCTTGCTTCTAAACATCTCTAAGTTTGCTGGTGATAGTTTTTCAGTATTTTTGAACTTGGCAGTACTTCCATAACGCTGGCTTCTAGAGAGCTCTTTTCTTTCTCTTGCCTCTCTTTTCTCTCCTTCTCTTCTTCTCTCTGGCTTGTTCTCACGTCCCATAGGCTTCTTTCTCTCTATCTCTCGCTCTTCTCTTTCTCCCTTTCTCCTCCCTCTTTCTCCCCCTCTATCTCTGGCTCTCTCTTTTTTCTCTCTGTTCTGTCCTCTCCTATCTCTCTCTCTCTCTCGCTCTTTCTCTCTGGCTCGTGCTCACTCCCATAGGCTTCGCTCTCTCTCTCTCCCTCTCTCCCCCTCTCTTTCTTTCCATCCTTTCCTCTCTCTCTCTCTCTCTCTGTCTCTGGTTTGTGCTCACTCCCATAGGCTTCGTTCTCTCTTCTCTTTCTCTCTCTTCCCTCTTCTCTCTCTTTGGCTTGTAATCACTTCCATAGGCTTCACTCTCCCTTTCTCCTCCTCTCTTTCTCTACATCCCTTCCTTTCTCTCGCTCTCTGGCTTGTGCTCGCTCCCATAGGCTTTGTTCTCTCTCTCTCTCTTCTCTTTCTCTCTCCCCCTTTCTCTTCTTTCTTCTCTCTCTTCTTTTCTCTTTGTCTTTCTCTCTCTCTCTGGCTTGTGCTCACTTCCATAGGCTTCGTTCTCCCTCTCTTCTCTTTCTCTCACCCCCTTTCTCCCTCTCTCTTCTTTCTCCTCTCTCTTCTTTTTCTCTCCACCCCCCCTCTTTTTTTTTTGGCTTGTGCTCACTCCCATAGACTTTGTTCTCTTTTCTCTTTCTCTCTCTTCCCCCTCTTCTCTCTCTCTGGCTTGTGCCCACTCCCATAGGCTTCGTTCTCTCTCTCTTCTCTTTCTCTCTTCTTTTTCTATCCATCCTTTCCTCTCTCTTTCTCTCTTTGCCTTGTGCTCACTCCTATCGGTTTCATTCTCTCTTTCCTTTCTCTTTCTCTCTCTTCCCCCTCTTCTCTCTCTCTGGCTTGTGCTCACTCCCATTGGCTTCATTCTCTCGCTTTCTCTCTTCTTTTTCTCTTCCCTCTTCTCTCTCTCTAGCTTGTGCTCACTTCCATAGACTTTGTTCTGTCTTTTTTTCTTTTTCTCTCTTCTTTTTCTCTCCATTCTTTCCTCTCTCTTTCTCTCTTTGGCTTGTGCTCACTCCCATAGGCTTCATTCTCTCTCTTTTCTCGTTCTCTCACCCCCTTTCTCCTTCTCTCTTCTTTCTCCTCTCTCTTCTTTTTCTCTCTGTCTTCCCCCCCCCTCTCTCTCTCTTTGACTTGTGCTCACTCTTATAGGCTTCATTCTCTCTCTTTCTCTCTTCTCTTTCTCTCTCTTCCCCCTCTTCTCTCTCTTTGGCTTGTGCTCACTCCCATAGGCCTCTAGGGTTCTCTCTCTCTCTCTCTCTCTTTTCTCTTTCTCTCAATCCTTTCCTCTCTCTCCGTCTGGCTTGTGCTCACTCCCATAGACTTTGTTCTCTTTTCTCTTTCTCTCTCTTCCCTCTTCTCTCTCTCTGGCTTGTGCTCACTCCCATAGGCTTCATTCTCTCTCTCTTCTCTTTCTCTCTTCTTTTTCTCTTCATCCTTTCCTCTCTCTTTCTCTCTGGCTTGTGCTCACCTCACGTAGGCTTCGCTCTCTCTCTCTCTCTCTCGCTTCCCCCCTTCTCTCTCTTTGGCTGGTGCTCACTCCCATAAGCTTCATTCTCTCTCTTTCGCTGTTCTCTTTTCTCTCTCTTCCCCCCTTGTCTCTCTTTGGCTGGTGCTCACTCCCATAAGCTTCTATCTCTCTCTTTCGCTGTTTTCTTTTCTCTCTCTTCCCCCCTTGTCTCTCTTTGGCTTGTGCTCACTCCCATAGGCCTCTAGGGTTCTCTCTCTTTCTCGCTCTCTCTCTCTCTCTCTCTTTTCTCTTTCTCTCTTCTTTTTCTCTCCATCCTTTCCTCTCTCTTTCTCTCTGGCTTGTGCTCACCTCACATAGGCTTCGCTCTCTCTCTCGCTTCCTCCCTTCTCTCTCTTTGGCTGGTGCTCACTCCCATAGGCTTCATTCTCTCTTTCGCTGTTCTTTCTCTCTCTTCCCCCTCTTCTCTCTCTCTCTGGCTTGTGCTCACTCCCATAGGCTTCGTTCGCTGGGTGCCATGCTTGAGCCCACTGACGGAGACTGCTTCATGTTTCCAGGTGTCACTTACGCTGCAAAGGGCTACTTCGACGCCTTGGTGCGGATGGGGGAGATGGCCAGCGAAAGCCAAGGATCTAAAGATCTTGGTGAGTCTTCATAGCATAGACCGCAGTAGACAGTAGCTGGCTTTGTGGATAGATAGATAGACTTTGTTGATCCTGAAGGAGTCTCGGAGTAACTATTCTTGAGTTTCAACTTTCTGGTAGTGGCGACATTTTGAGGACCCATTGAAAAGATTCAGGATTTTGATTTTATTTGAGTACCGGTGATTGGATTGGTCACTGGAGTTTTCTAAAGTTACATATTTAAAGTACAAACCAGACAGCAAGTTGGTGGTGATTTGGTAATACAATTAGAATTATGATATGTTTTTTAGTAACTGTTCTTGGGGTTCAACTTCCTGATAGCGGTGATGTTTTTGGTGATTGGATTGCAGATTGGAGTTTAATCCGTGTATCATTCATTCATTTGTTTTTCAAAATAAAACCAAAAGTAAGAAAACGAAGAAATAACTATTTTCTTCATTATTTGTTTCCAAAAAAGAATAATAAAATAACGGATAAAAAACAAAAAATGGATAACGGCCGTTTCTCGTTTCTGTGACTTAAACTACGATGCCGGACTTTTGTGCCGCATACAGACTGAACCAGGACTGAACCAGGACTATAACACAACTGAACCAAGACTAAAACAGGACTGAACCAGGACTAAAACAGGACTGAACCAGGACTAAAACAGGACTGAAACAGGAGTGAACCAGGACTAAAACAGGAGTGAACCAGGACTAAAACAGGAGTGAACCAGGACTAAAACAGGAGTGAACCAGGACTAAAACAAGAGTGAACCAGGACTAAAACAGGACTAAAACAGGATTAAACCAGGACCACACCAGGACTACACCAGGACTAAACTGGTCTCAGTCCTGGTCCTAGTCCCGGTCTGGTCCCTGTCTCAGTCCTGATCACCCATCCGTTTACGCGGGTGCACCTCCGGGCCTGTTCCGATACTCCTGTTTTAGTCCTGGTTCAATCCTATTTTAGTCCTGGTTCAATCCTGTTTTTAGTCCTGGTTCAATCCTATTTTAGTCCTGGTTTAGTCTGTATACAGCGCAAAAGTCTGGCATCGCAGTTTAAGAAACGGGAAATGGCCACTATCCATTTTTAACATTATTCATTTAAAAAACAAAATCTAAAACTGAAAATGTTATCCATTTATGGTTTTGTTTTTTTATATGTTGGTTTTGAAGACAAATAATGAAGAAAATAGTTCTTTTTTCATTTTCTTATTTTTGGTTTTATATTGAAAAACGAATGAACAAATGATACACGTATTGAGTTTCCTAAAGTTATTTCAGTATTTTTCAGTGTTTTCTCTTTGAACTTGGCAGTACTTTCATAACACTGGCTTCTAGAGAGCTCCTTTCTTTCTCTTGACTGGCTTCCCTCTCTCTCTTTCTCCACCTCCCCTCTTTCTTTTTCTTTCTTTCACCTTCTTCTCTCTCTTCAATACTAAGTTTTTTGGTAACTATTCCTGGGTTTCTACTTCTTGGTAGAGGCGACATTTTGAGGACCCATTCAAAAGTTACAGTATTTTGCTAATTGCTATGGCAACAGTGCTACTTTTTTCTGAATTTGTTAGATACTGGAGTGCTCTAAAGTTACATATTTACTATACGAACAAGATAGCAAGTTTGTGATGTCTATGGCAATGGTGTTATTTTTTATTAGGTCCATTAGGCCTTCTGTTATGATTGTCTTGTACATAAGAATCTGTAGTATCTGAATTTGTATTATTAAAAATACTTGGCTATTGTCGCTGCTTGTCTCCATGGAGATATGCAGGTTTTGTGTAAATATTGGGAGCATTTCAGGCTTTACATTTTTAGTAACCCTTCTTAGATTTCAACTTTCAACTTCCAGGAAGAAGTAACGTTTCTGACAAAGATTTTGAGAGACAGTATTTTGACTTTCATTTTTAATTGCTATGACAACTGTGTAACTTTTTCATCACTCTTATTGGATACTGGTGATTATTGAGTTTTCTAAAAGGGTCACCATTTTACTAATTTGTATGTTGTAGTAATGTGAGACGATTCATGACCTGTTGACATCTTTTGGTGATTTGTAAGGATGCATTTTATTGTCTTGGTGAAGAAACAGAAAAAAACAAGGTCAGGTGTACTCATCGCTGTAGTATTGTTCTGTCTGTGCATGTTTTGGGTTGGAGGACTGTGATAATAATAAAAACATAAAACATTTTGGGAGAAACAGATTCAAAACCATTTCATTTGATCTTGCTCTTGGCAAAGATCAGAGTTGAAAATAAGAGACGTGATGGTTGGAGATTTGTTAAGGTTGTAAGTCAAAATACTCAAACATTTTTGTTTTTTTCCCTTATTTATTCAGATATCAGATTTATTTTTTTCCTTTAATTGTAAACCACGATCATAATCTGAAATGGGCGAATAATAGAAAGGGGACTGTCAAAACGTTTACTTGTTTACAGTCCTAAAATCAAGGTTGAAAGTCATATGTAGGGCTGGGAATCATTAAGAAGTTGCCACGATACGCTACATACCTTGATACGTAGGCCACGATACGATACATGCCTTGATATGTATGCCACGGTACGATGCATACCTCATTACGTAGGCCATGATACGATACATATCTCGATACGTAGGCCACAATATGATCCATATCTCGATACGTAGGCCACGATGCAATGCAGACCTTAATATGTAGGCCACGATACGATACATACCTCGATACATAGGCCACGATACGATATGAGACATGCCTTGTTATGTAGGCTAAGATACGATACATACCTCAATACGTAGGCCACGGTACGATGCATACCTCGATACGTAAGCCACGATACGATACATACCTTGATACAATATATTTCAAACTGTTTCGAGACGGTTCAGTAAAAAATAATGGCTAAATCATGGCGGTGATACTAAAAGTCTTTATTAAACCACTTCTTGTGCAAAGTTCATATGAAACACAAACATTTTAATCATCGCAACTGTCTGCGATGCGAACTACAAATGTCAAATAAACGAGTTTATATAGATACAGCAGCCCACGATATCAATACTCTATCATCACATTAAATGATATGATATGTCAATATTTTTTATATTTTGCACGCCCCCCTTGTCATAAATGTAAAAAATATAACTCAGTTGCAAAATGGAGTTACCTAAGAGTTTTTAGAGCTTTTTATGCAATATAGTGTAATAATATGTAGTGTATTAATCCCTTATTTTATACATTTAACTGTGCTTAATCATGCTGGGGGTGTTCTACATGTATCTCTATAGTGAAATATTTAGGAGTTACCATGGTGACACAATGCATACATGAGCGAAAACTCAAAAAAAGTTGTAAGATTGTCTGACAACTCAAGAAAAAATACAAAATGGATTTAAACCACACATTTTCAGGAGCCTGTGAAAAATACAAACGTTCATGGTCCTGTTTAGTTTAGTCTGATTTTCAACAAAAAAGGTGAGAATGACAAATCATCTCACCTGTTGTAGTCCAAGTTACATACAAATAAACTTGCCTTGCCTTGCCTTCTTTCTGGTCAGATTGCATTAAAACAAAGCACAGTTTAAAGTCTAATAAAGCCTCAGACAGAGGAGAGCCTACAGTTAGCATCACACCCTCAGGGAAAGCTGACGAAGTCAGCTGCAAAGTGTGAATGGAAACAGTACGTATGTTTTTATTTTGTGAGGAAATAGTCACATGTTTAGCTTCAGACCAGTGCTTCCTGTGGGCCTCACCTCAGCGTGACTCCTCAGCTCAGCTCAGGGACCATTATAGCTGCAGTTTCTATTATTTATGTGCACATCTCTTCACATTAGTCTTATTTATACTGCCCTAGGAGATGTCCCTGCTTTGGTTTGAAATCAAAAAGAAAGTTATCTGATAGGTATCCATGGCAACTTTATTTTGTGCTCACTTTTTTCCTCCTTTTGGTATTAGATTTGAGATATCTACTAAAATATTCCAATTTACGCTATTTTCTGATCTCTGTTATAATGTTTCCTGATCAAAAACAGACCTGGAGTTGTGTTTTGTTTCATTCACACATTTAACACACAAACCCTGCGTTGGAGACGTAGACAGACTAAAGGATTACTCAAACATGTGTGAATGAAACATAACAGCTCACAACTTTTGACATTAAAACATGACTTAAAGCTCACAAGAAACAATTTTGTGTAATGTAGGACCTTTAAAATCTCTATAATTTGAGCCTGTATCTGACCCAGACTCCACTCACAAGACTTCAACTGCACAGGATTTCATGCAAAAACAATTTATACGGAAAAAAGTACTAGGGAAAAATATTTATATGAAAAAAAAAAGCAGATTAAACTAGATTCACTTCCAAGTGTATGGTCACTAAACACCTTGCTGTTCTAAATCCTTGAAATCAAAATAAAAAAATTGCACGATTAATACAAATTAGGGTTGGGTGGTATCCAAATTTCCAAACCTTCTCAGGATTTTACTGGGGTAAACAGTATTACCGTATTACCAAAATGTTTTAGTACGACTTTGGTAAACTACGAAGCCGCACAGCTGTACGGTCTATGTGTATGACCTGCAGACTTAAAATCTCTGAAAAGTTTCACATGAACCATCTCCAACACGATACACGCATAGAACAAACTCACCGTCAGCCGCCCATCTTCTATCACAGAGAGAACACTCATATTCCACTGTGTCGTGTCCTTTAGTCTGACAGAAACTGAACCGCATCAGCGCACAAGGAGCAAGCCATATTTATCAGCCCTTAAAACCACATGGCTTATTTGTATAAACTTTAAAGTTTTGTTTCTGTAAAGTGTAAACAAATGTGCTCCTGAAGCCAAAATGTGGTCAAATTGCAGAAGTACTAGTATTTTTTTGGGGGGGGACTAACTCGCTTGTGGCCGGACTTGCCATCTTGTCTTGATCCCTTATGTACGGAAGCCAAGAGGGGTCACAACAAACGCAAACTCCGCAACAAATACAAATGCGACAACACAACAAAAAGCCACAACACGCCAAAAAAGCCACAACAC